CGATTGGTTTGAGGCTTTTCGTGTTCCTGGAGCGAGCAGACGCCATTGGGCTACACTAGCACGTGACAGGGACGGATGGAGACATTACTGGCGCCTGCTCGAGCAAATCAATGAGTAACGGGATGTCAAGTGATCAAGTGATCAAGTACAGATGCTCATAATAAGTTCCTCAAGGGAGAGAGAGCTCAACCAACTAGAGCCCAGGCTTCACATGGAGGCTTCCCAGTTTGATGTCGCACCAGGATTGACCCCTGAGTACTGAGCCCTGAGCTCAGAATAGTCCCTAAACCACACCAGGTGTGGCCCAGAAAAAAAAGCCATCCTCAAAATGGTGCTCTCCCCAAAAGGAGAGAGAGAACAGAGGGGAATGCCCTGCCACAGAGGCAGGATGGGATGGGGGGGATGGGGGGTGGGAGGGATACTGGGATCCGTGGTGGTGGGAAATGGGCACTGGTGGAGGGATGGGTATTTGATCATTGTATAATTGAAACCCAAGCACAAAATTTGTAAGTCTACAACTGTACCTCATGGTGTCTCACTAATAAAAATTTTTTTAAAAATGGTGCTCTCAAGCTACTTGCCATGCCTCCTGGCGACTGTCTAAAAAAATATCTGAGCCAGCAATGTGGCCTTTCTTGATTGTCACCCCACAGTGTCACGGGGACATCTGCATGACTGGCGAGAGGAAGTCCAGGCAGAGCCTTCCAGGCAGCTTGTGCCCCAGGAAAGAACTCAGAGTTGAGCAATGTGGGGGGTAGGCTGCCGTCTAGTGGACAACCCAAACAGCTGTCCACCCCACCCCCGATTCCCCTCCCACCTCCCTGAGAGCATTGCACTGCCCAGGGCTCTTGAGAGAGAGGCGAGCTTGTGCAAAGCTCTGGGAAAGGGGATGGGGCCATAGTACACAGCAAGCAGGCCGCTTGTCTGGCATGCGGCTGACGTGGGTTCAATCCATGTGGTCTTCCAAGCCCCATCAAGCGCCATCCCTGAGTTCAGAGACAGGAGGAAGACCTGAGCACAACCAGGTGTGGCCCCTCGAAAAAATGGGGGGTGTCAGAGTGATAGTACAGAGGGTAGGACTTTTGCTTTGCACATGACTGACCAGGTTCAGTTCCCGACATCCTATATGGTCCCCCAAGCTCTAGTTCCTGAGCAAAATGCCAGGAGTGAGCCCTGAGCATCACCTATTGTGTATGACCGGGTTCAATTCCCAACATCCCATATGGTCCCCCAAGCTCTAGTTCCTGAGCAAAAAGCCAGGAGTGAGCCCTGAGCATCACCTATTGTGTATGACCAGGTTCAATTCCCAACATCCCATATGGTCCCCCAAGCTCTAATTCCTGAGCAAAAAGCCAGGAGTAAGCCCTGAGCATCACCTATTGTGTACTAGCATAGTACTATTACAGTACTGTACTATAGCATCTGTATTATTATCAAAAACCTGAGAGAGAAAGGAAGAAAGGGAGGGAGGGAGGGAGGGAGGGAGGGAGGGAGGGAAGGAGGGAGGGAGGGAGGGAGGAAGGGAGGGAGGAAGGGAGGGAGGGAAGGAAGGGAAGGAAGGATTCCACATGGGGCAGGCCATAGCGACAAAGGCTTCAGACATGAGCCAGCAAGCCCAGTTGAAGATGGGGAAGGGGACCTAGTGGCCCCCACTCCCAGGCTTGGCCGTCCCCGGCCTCCAAGGCTCCATGTCATCCGGAGAATAAGGTCTGTTCCCAATCCCCAAGGGAAATCCGTTGCCCCATTTCCACCCTCCTACCCCTACCTAGCCGTGGGACAGCTTTCCCATGGGTCCGACTGCTGCTGTGCCAAGGACTCTTTGGGGAGCACAGAGCCAGTCCAGGTGGACTGCAGAGCCCCTACTTCTACTTGTGACTGGCCCCTATACATTCCATGGGCTCCCTCCACCGCCTAGTCAGAATCCAGTGCTCTCCAGGGCACAGGGCACAGGGATGTGGGCCTGAGGTAGTACTCTCAGGGACAGTGTATGTCCGAGCACCCCACTGCCAACAAACCAGAGCCTTTAAGAGATGCTCCCAGCAGGGCCACAGCCGGCAGAGCAGGTCTGACAGCCTGCTGCTCTGGCCTTGGAGGCCGTGCATGCTCAGGCTGGCTCTGGGCAGGGCAGAGCCACACCTGGGAGGGGGTCCCTCACTTCCCAGCAGTGCTAGAACCTAACTCAGGGCCTGTGCTCTTCTAGAGAGAGCGCCCCACAACCCCCCCGAAAATACATGCTTTAATGGGGACATTGCTCTGTGCTAAGTTCTGGGGGTGGCTGGTGAGTGCAGCTGCATACTTGCTGATGCCCCCAAAACGAGAGAGCTCACACACACACACACACAAGGAGTCACCTCCAAGGGGCTTAGACACTCCCCACATCAGCCACTATTCACACAGCAGCTTGGAAAACAAAATTTTGAAGCAGCTTAAGGGGGTGGGAAGGCAGCTCCACAGTGGAGAACCTCTCCAGGATGTGTTTTAAACGCAGGGCCAGAGGCAGTAGAAAAGATCCAGTGCTTTCCTTGTATGTGACTGGCCCCAGTCTGCGTCCCTGGCACCCCATATGGCACTTAAGGACCACCAAAAGTGATTCCCAAGCACAGAGCCAAGAGGAAGCCCTGAGCAATGCTAGGTGTGGTTAGGACACCCCCCCAAAACACATTACCAACGTGGAATGACTTGCAGATTTCCATGAGTCACATCATTCTGGCACTTGATTCAGGAACTCCAAGGCCTGCTCATCCCGCAGCAGGGCCAGAAAGACACGTGGGCTTCACTTGGGCCAGCTCGGGAGGAACAGTGAATGGCTGGGCCATGTATGTGCTCGCATAGTGGCGGTTTGCTTGCAGTGACCAGGCCCAGAGGGGATGCTCACCTAAATCCTGCCTTGACGCCACACGCTATCCCTTCTGCATAGTCCTCCGTGAAGAAAGGTGGGATCAGCTTGCCCCACCATCCCAGACCCAGATGATCCCACCAGGAACAGCCCGCTGCAAACTGGGGTGTCCGGAGCCTGGCAGCTGCTGTGGAGGCACTTTCTGCTTTGTAACCAGAGCACCAGCACCAGCCAGGGTTCCTGAGCTATCTGCAGGCCAGAGCTCCACAGCCCGGGGGAAGTGAGGATGAGGGACAGAAGCACAGCTACATTCTGGAATTTGCTGCCCAGGTTTGGTGGGAGACCCTGGTATTCCAGTTCTGCGTTCCAGGGAGAGATCAAAGGAACAATCCCTGCCAGGTACCGTGCGGGGGCACAGGCTGAGGCTGAACACCACCTGCACAGGTCCCCACCAGACCTCACAGGAAGCTCCATCAGACAGCACTTAGAACCTGGGGTCCTGGCAGCCAGGCCTGGTTCTTAGGTTCTGCGGCTGTCACTCCTCCGGCGTCAGGAGCCAGCTGGCAAACCACCGCTTCCCAGAAATCCAAGGCTGGGCTGGGCTTTTATTTTTCACTCATTCAGGGGTCACCCCCACCCCGCCCGGTGCTCAAGGAATATGAGTTGTGATGTGACCAAGGCTTCCCACCTACCCAGCACATGGCCCATATGCTGTTCATGTCTTGGGGGTGTCCTATGAAGCATCGGGGATAGACTCCTGAGCACCACATGCAAAGAATGTTCTTGGCCGACCCCATGTTCCTAAGGGTACTGGGGGGGAGGTGTCCCACATGTCAAAGGCCCAATCTGTGCTCTCCCTCCAAAATAAGATATGGGGCCCGAGAATGAGGCTTATTTGGAGACGACCCAGCAGCAAGGTCACGGGTATCCGGGTGCAGAGAGCCTGCGGGCAGGGCAGTTGCCTGAGCAGTCTTCCCAGCCAAAGCTCAGAGCAGGCCAACTTCACAGCAACATGTATTTCCGGGCATCAAAGTAATCCGAGCAAATTACAGGCCTTAGAAAATGCTCCCGAAACACAGCAGCAGCTTCACTGCTGAGCCACCCACCCGCCCGCCCACCGGTGAGCAGGTGCACACTTGCAGCCTGACCTCTCTGCCGCAGCCCGCTACCCTCAGCCCAGCACCCCTCAGGAGCAAGTGAGTGAGGACCCCAGAGACAGGGCCCAGAGTGGGGCTGGTCTGCCCACGCCTGGGCACACAGTGACTCTCGAGTCCAGAGCTTCCCCAGCAAGGGGAAAGGTCCCCAGTCACATTGCACACTTGGCTGAGCCCAGGTTGGTTCTGAGCCCAATGGGAGACCTCTCCAGGACTGGGAATGTTTTGTGGGCCAGGGGCAGCAGAGGGAATGCAGGTGCCTGCCGCTGGGGGTTCACCTCCAAACCCAGGCCCACGAAAGCCGAGGGGCTACAGCTAAGCAGCCCCCCACTTTGGGGGAATGTGGCAAGGCTTGGAGACCTTGGTGCCTAGCTCAGGGTCACTGGCGGGGGAGCAGGGGCGAGGACATCATGGTTATCTTCAGGCTTTGTCAAAGTTGTTTTGGGGCCACACCTGTTGCCCCAGGCTTATTCCTGGCTCTGCGCTCAGGGATTCTTGGGGACACTGGAAGGCAAGCACCTTACTCCTACTATACTATCGCTCTGGCCCCCAGTTCCAGCTTTGTACACAGATAAGCTTCACAAGCATGTAGGGTGCCTGCCGAACCCCTTTCAGGAGCCTGACTCAGTAAAGGTGAGCACATGCCCATGCAAGCACCTTCCCCGAGTGCCTCTGCGTCCCAAGACCCCACCACTGTTGCCTAACAGAGCTGTTCCAGTAGGCACCTCCCAAACTGCAGGTGACTATGACCTTCCTTGGCAAAGGTGTTGGCAGACGGCGAAGGTCAATGTCAGCTTTGATGCTTGGGTGCTGAGTCCCGAGAAGCTGAAACCAGCAGTGAAGAGTGGGGGCCATGGAACCTTAGGCAGCTACTAGAGAGGTGCACCCAGCCACCAAGAATGAGGCTGTCCCAGGGAGCCACTCCCCCCCCCCCCCGGAACAGACCCACCCGACCATCCCAGACCATCCAGCTTCTGGGCTCCAGAACAGGGACAAAGCACAGCACAGTCTAAGGCCACCAGATTCATGGTTGTTAGCACAGCACAGGAAACACACAGGTGGTCCCAAAGCCTTGCAAGAAAACAACACAATGACGGTCGCTGCTGTGGCCACCAGAGGGACAGCACATATGCCTGCGATGCAGTCCCGCAAGGTGGCCCCATAGGTCTCCTGGGCTGCAGAGGCCAAGGGGAAGAGCAGTGCCGGCCAGTCTGCACTTGGCAGCACCGAACCGAGTCCAGAACAGCCAGGGTAGGGTGCAGCCCGGTGCAGACGGCAGGCACGGCCAAGCCAGTGTGACAGGGCCTCCCGGGAGCTCCGCTGGGCTAGGCAGGCAGCACGCTGTGAACAGTGGGCCCAGGTGCAGGAAGCGAAGCCACATGTCAGCCCCAGCCCCAGAGCAGGTGGAGGGACTGAGCATGTGACAACCAAAGAAGAAACAGGGAGAATAGGAGCGTCAGGGACACAGCAGCCCGTCCAAGCAAAATCCAAAAGGCCACTGTGGGGTCCTCTCCTCAGAGCATGGCTCCAGCCCACTGGGGAAGGACATGGTGGAAACAGTGCGGCTTTGGAGACAGTCAGAGACACTGGGCAATGCGAGCCAGTGACAAGGGTGTGACGAAGCGGCCAGTGGCCTGGGGAACTGGTCCCCAAAGGGGCCCTGCCGCAAGGCCTGACAGCCCCAGCAGCTGTGCGCGCAGTAGAGGCACTGAGGAAAGTGGTTAAGCCAAGGGAGGAAATGAGCAGAGTCAGGCCAGGTGCAGAGCTGCAGCTCAGAGTGCGCCGGGGCGGGCAACAGACAGCACGCGCGCCCGGAAGGGACTGCAGCAGGTGGGCACAGCAGCACACCACCCAGAGGGGGCCGGGACAGGGCAGCACCCGCGGCCAGCCAGGCCTATTCGATGCACTCCATCACGTGGATCTGCAGCGTGTCCATGTCGGGGGCCTGGTACTGGCACTTGGGGCAACAGAAGTCAGGCGGCTCCTCAGGGGGGCTCCTGGCGTTGGGCAGGACCTGGTGAAAGGGGTGATCTGGGGAGACAGCGGGGGCAGGGTGCCTGTGAGTGACGGAGGCCAGCCCTACAGGGACCGGGATGCCCCAAAGACCGCCTGGGCCCCAGCACTCACCGAGCACTGAAGGTAAGGGGGGCTGTGAGGCCTCCGTGTGCCGCTTCCGCAAATCTTCGATCCTTTGAAAATGAAGCCACGAGAAGTCAGGGGCGCTGAACAAAGGGAGCAGCCCCGGGGCTGGCCAAGGCTCACCTGGCCAACTCTTGGCAGCTGACCTTCAGGCGCCCATACTCCCGCTGCAGCTGCTCCAGCTGCTCCTGAAGCAGCTCCTTCTTCTCGGCCAGCTTCTCCCGGGCCTGCCTCTCGGCCTGGAAGTCAGCCTTGTAGATGTCCGCCTGGCCAAGGAAACAGGGGCAGTGGCAGGGTCCGTGGCCCTCGTGGGCCCTTCCCTTCCCGAGCACCGGAGCAGGGAGGGCCTCACCTGGGCCTTCAGCACCGGCACTGTCTCCATCACAATCTTGTGCTGCTCCGCCTCCTCCTTCAGCTTGTCAATCACCTCCTGCTTGGCCACCAGTGCCTCCTCAGCCTGCTGCAGCTGCTGCTTCAGGTCTTCCAGCTGCGTTCCCTGGGGATGCGCAGGGGCTGACGGAGGTGGGGGGAGGCACCCAGGGGGAGGACGAAGCCCCAGAGAGGCAGGCTGCTGGGGGTCGCAAGCTCTGAGCTCACCCGACAATTCCTTCCTCGAGGCACATAGCCCAGCACGTGACAAGATGCCCAGTTCTGCCAGTCCCTCGTGAGTGCCACCCCCCGCAAACTTGCACCTTGAGCCCCAGAGACTCGCAGCCCCAGAGGCATCGCCCTGACAAACACTCAGCCTCCCACCCCCGCAGCCACTTCCATGAGATCAAAGCCACACTCCAAGCTCCTCCTCGTGGGGCCCGGCCGGAGGCCTGCCTCGGCATGGCCTGCCCAGGGCCTCTTCATGCTTAATAACCCCCTTGGTGACCCGGGACTGCTCGAAACTGCACCCAGGACAGGTCTGACAAGCCGAGAGTAGACAAGGGCTCCCCGCGGCCTGCGGACGCTGGGAAATTTACATCTCTGGGCTTTCCCTGGGCCAGCAGGCACTGAGCCAGGAGCGCGGTCAATGCTGGTGGGCAGGAGGGCCCGCGGGCACATAGCAGCCCGACACGGCTCAGACAGGTCTCCTGGCAGACAGCAGAGGAGGCCCTGCTCAGCTTACCCGGTTCCGCTCACTGCTCCCCATGCTGTTCTTGATGTGGTTGTCATAGTCCTGGAAGAGCTGACGATAGGCCACCTGCAGCTGGGCCAGCTTCCGCCTGCAAGAGAGCAATGGCTCAGGCCCCGAGTACAGGGGGCTTTCTGGGGCACTCTGAACCTTTTGGGGTCTCTGCTAGGGTGGGCGGCACTTTGCAAGCAGTGTTTTCCTGAAAGCCACCATGTTACAGAGGGTGGAAAGAAACATTTGCGGCCCAAGTGTGCCCCCTCTGCAGAGAGGCCGGTCTCCGTGTCAGACAGAGGGAGTCAGGAGATGGCTGGACTGAGCACGGGGCGCAGAAAACGGAAGGCGGTTCCCAGACACTTACTTCTCCTCGGAGACGACCTGGCGCTCCATGCGCAGCGCCGCCTCCATGCTATGGTTCTGCATGCGCAGCTGGTCCAACTGCACGCAGTGCTGCTGCTCCAGTGCCTCCCGCTCGCTCTCCAGCAGCCGGGCCTGCTCGCTGGCCGCCCGTACCCTGGCAGGGGTGAAGGGGCAGTCACAGCACAGCCCACCCAAGGGGAACGCCGTGCGAGCTGGCAGGACAGCCAGTCGAGGGTCCCAGGAGAAGCAGTACCGGTAGCTGAGCGTGCTCAGGCTGGGCAGAGGAGTCTGCGGGAGCAGAACGCCCCTCGCAGCTCCACGGGCATCTCAGAGCCCACCGACATAAGTCAGGGAACTCTTCTGTATGCCCTCACAGCCAGTCTTGGTCCTGGGTCCCTCCACACAGCCCCCCAATCTTCCCACTCCACTTTACAGGCAGTGGGCAAGGGGGCTTCTGGGCAGGAGGCGGTGCCCAGGCACGGGCATGGGAAGCTCAGACAACACAGACGAATCTACAGAGGGAAGAGCCGGGCTCGCTCGGGGAGCCAGGGCACTGGGGACCCAGCCGGCGCACATGCCCCACTGCCCACTCCAAGCATCTGTGTGGAGGGCAGCGCAGGCATGAGCCCCAACTTGGAGCTTGGACCCCCACTGAAAGGCCCCCACCCCTGAGAAGGCTAAGTGGCCAGTGGGGTGACAGCTGCTGTCCTTCCATCCCTGTGGCCACAGCCGGGGGGCTCTGTGCAGGGGCCCATGCCTGGCAGACACGGTACTCCAGAGTGGGGTGCTCCACATGACACATGGTGCTTTGCTGAGTGGAGAAGAGTTTCGTGTGGCGGAGTGCTCTGTGTGGGGCTGGAGGTGCCTTGGCCAAGCACCTACTCTCATCTAGGATTCAGGGAGCTGAGGGTCTGGAGGAAACCACTGCCCAGTGGCCAATACAAACACCAGAAGCTGAGCTCCCTGGGCCCCGTCAAAGAAGCGAGGGTGGATCTGGGCTGCCCCCACCCAGTCTGTATCTTGTGCCTCTCGGGATTCCAGGCGGTACCTCAACAGTGTGTTTGGAGGACCCCTGCAACCCCGAAATATACCTCGCCCACAGTCTGGAGAGCCTGCCCCCACTCACTTGCTCTCCAACGCCTGTCGCTCCTGGGTGGCAACCTCCAGACGACTCTGGCTCTCCTGCAGCTCCCCCAGCAGGGATGTGACCTGTGCCTTCACGGACGCCTTGTCTTCAGCCATCTGCTGCAGGATGAGATGCCACTGCCACCTGTTAGTGCCGCTCTGCACCTCCCACCCAAGAGGTGCTAAGGGCAACGCATGCGTAACCCCCAACAACGGGGACCCCTGTGCAGTCCCCACACACAAAGCCTTCAGGGCCAGCAGCTGCCAAACTCACACATGCGCCGATCTTCCCTACCGAACCCCAAGTGTGGTCTCTCCGCCGTACCTGGCCCCTGCTGGCCCGAGCACCCCTCAACTCACTGGCTCAGAGCCCCTGGTTGGGGTGTACTGATCAAGCCGGGACCCCTGGGGGTGCCGCTGAGCACACCCTCAGCTTTGGCAGCAGTGCTGCTCTCTAGGTTCTGGGGCGGGCGCAGGTGGTCAGGGAGGTGAGTGTGGGTGAGGGCAGTGCATGTTCCCCTGCCTCTGGGGGGAGGGGCGACCCTGGATTCAAGGGCCAAAGATGGTCCCCCACACACTGTGTCAGGGGCAGCTCAGCATTCCGAGTGCCCCGTGTGAGTAGCCTCCATGCTCCTTGTCCCCACATCCTGCTGGGGCAACTTGTGCCCTGGGAGAGCTTCTCCAAAGTGCTCTCCGGGAAGTCCACAAAGGCAGCTCCAGCCGCAAACCTCATTCCAGCACACAGCTCAAAGTCTGTGGTCCCATCTCTTAGGTCCCCACACCCCAGCAGCCACAGGCACCACTGAGCAACAATGGGGGTGGGGGTGGCTGCCTAGTTCCCAGAAGCCCTTTCGGGAAGGGGAGCTGGGTTCATCCAGATGAAAGGATGGTGTTCCAACTGCTTTGGTGCTCCAACGGCCTCCCCGTGAGAAACCAAGCCTGCACCAACAGCCTGAGGCAAAGGGAAAGTAGAGAGGCCTCCTTCCGAGAACAGCGCCAAGGTCTGGTGGGGCCAGCCTGGACACACCGCACCAGGCCCCGAGGGCCACTGCTTCAAAAGGTCCAGCAAACAGACGGAGCTAATGCCAGGCTTCTTTAGTCACTGGCTGTGACTGTACCTGAGTTCTCTGGGGCTGACACAAATGTCCTCGCCCCAGAAGAGAGCACAGGCCTTCGCTGGAGTCAGGGTCTGGACAGTTCCAACTTGACCAGTTCCCCGTAGGTGCTACCCCAGGCCCATCACCATCCACCAAGAATCCTGCCCCCCCTCCCCACCCTCCGAGACTCCATGCGGCCTGTTCCCACTTCCATCCCAGGGCTCTACTAGACGGTACAGAGCCGTGACTCCAGCCCTCTGGCTGGCACAGGAGTGGGATGGTAGCGCCCGGGGCTCCAGGGGCCCCTACCTGCTGGCATCTCTTGAGGTGCTCCAGCTCCTGCAGTGCCTGCGCGCGCTGCTGCCGCAGCTCCAGTGTGCACGCGCGCAGCCTCTCCACAAGCGCGCGAGCCGCCCGGAATTTGTGCAACAGGAAGTCCTTCTCTTCCCGCTGGCCGCCCTGCACCCTCTGCAGCTCCTCGCAGCGCTCCCGCAGCATCTGGTTGCTCTGACGGATGGCATCTGACCATGGCAGACAGCAGGGGTAAGGGGTGAGCACCGGGCGGCCTGCCTGCCCCAGGGACCCCAGCCATGGGGAGAGCTGGAAATACGTTCAGACAGATGTGCCTGTGCCAAAAAGCTTGTAGGAGGCAGCACCCTAGTCAAAACGAGGAGGGTGCCCCACGTCAGCAAGCCGCAGAGCACATGAGCACGAGCTGGAAACTAGCCAGGAGGGTCCCAGGATGGCAACTGAATGTGGCTGCAGTCTGCCCTCCTGGGACTCCTCCCCTGCAGAGACTTTGGGGCCCACCATCCAGCACGGCTGAGGGTGCCTCAGCTTCTTGCAGCCCACTGAAGCCGGTGGGGGTAGTGGCTTTCATGAACGCAAAGAGCACTCGAGTCCCATCTGTCCTGGCCTGGTGCCCGATGGAGCTGTCCCCAGACCGCCCTCTGTCCCAGACATGAGGTGGAGGGACCCAAGGCCCAAGCAACCAGCTCCAAGTGTCACTGCCACACCTTTTGTTCATGGGAGTCACACCTTAGCATGGGGCCCGGTAGGGGAAGCCTGAGACTGCCACCAACCATCGTGCTCAGCCCGACTCCTGAACCTGGAGCTCACTCCAGAACCCAGGCTTCGGGGAGCCAAACACAGGCCAGACAAGGAGCTAGAGCCTGAGATGGGGACCCCACACAATCTGTCTCTGCCCACCTGGCTGCCAATGCCTAGCCAACCCTGTGCCAACAGCTGGGGACAGTCAGCTGTCATAACTGTAGCAGCACTGAGGGCGGCACACAGAAAGGTGAGGAAGCCGACACCAGCAGGAGACAGAAATTCAGATTAGAAGATGGGGTGAGGAGGGACAGGTGGAGGGATGGAATGGTGCCCAGAGCCCAGCCTGGCCACTTCAGGCTCCCCTCTCCAGAGTGCCGGAGGCTGCTCACCTCGGAGTTCCTGGTTCTCCTCCAGGCAGCGCTGGAAGGTGTCAGGGCCAGCGTGCTCCGTGGGTACGTGTGGCATGGCCGGCTTTCCCACGGAAGTGTCACCACCCAGCCCGTCCTGCTCCCCAGCCGGGCCACCACTCGGCTGCACCATCTCGCAAGGTGGGCTCTTGCGGGGCAGTCTGCTCATCCAACACACCGGCGGCTGCAAGACACAGGCAGGGCTATCAGGGGTCCAGGGAAGGACAGCCAGCACCACCTCCACCTCAGGAGATGGCTCAGGGACCAGGGGTGCGTGTCTGGCCTGCACATGGACCCAGATGGAGAACCCCGCACTGCACAACCGCTCTCGAGTCCTAGGTGCCCCCAGGTACCACCAGCCCTTAGGGTGGCACCATATATCAGCACAGTGATTCTCACCAGGAGTGACCGTGGGTCCCCCGAATAGCCAGAAATTTCACCCAGAGGTGGGCTTGGGAGGCACCACTTTGGGAGGGAAGTGTAGTATCTGGGTATAAGACTCACCACCAGTACACACTTCCAAGTAGGAGCTGAGAGAGTGGGCAAAGCCACAAGAAAGACCCCAGAGATCAGTGTGAGGCGGCCACGAGGAAGGATGAGCAGAGCCTCTGAGCAGCACTGGGGGCCGGCAGGGCTACCCCTAGGTGGCCAAATGGTACCAGGGTTGGCACCCAGAGGCAGTGCCTGACAGGTGCTCCCTGGCCCACCACATAGACCGGATTTTACCTGACATGGTGCTGAGGATGGAACTCAGCACCCTATACATGAAAGAGCTGTAGCCCTGAGTCCCATACCCACCTCCAGTGTCCCAGAAACTGCCCGTCCAAGACCTGCATCCAGGGTCATCTGTCTCAGCACACCTAGGAAAGGGCACTTTCTGGGGAGCGCCTGGAGCCTGCCATAGGGGCTGCATTTCAGTGTCATGGAGGGGGCCAGGAAAACCTAGAGGAATAGCAGGCAAACCCAAGGACCCTATCAGGATGTAGGAGTGGGGAAAGGAGACGACAGGTGGTGGAGCGGGAATCAATGTGAAGGGACACCCAGTTTGGCCTGGGCACCTGACCAGCGGCTGCCCCCACCCAGTTTCTGCCTATAATCTTCAGTGGGGCAAGGTTCCCTCTCTTCTCTCCATGTGGCCTCTCAACCTGAACCTCTAACTTAACACTGACCTCTGTTATTGACTCCAGACTCCCAGACCAACTCAATGTGTGCCCCGGCCTCAGCAAAGCAATCTCCCCAAAACTGCCCTTCCCTGAAGCCGGAGGCACAGCACAGCAGCTAGGTTCCATCCTCAGGACCCCATAGGGTTCCCCAGCCCACCGGGAGTGATGCCTGCATGCAGAGTCACAAATAAGCCCTGCACATTGCTGGGTGTGGCTCCAAAACAACCCAAAACACTGCCCTCCCCAGAGTCCCCAACTTTCTGGCCTTTAGTGGCCAGGACGGTAAGCCCAGGAAGGCTGGCAGGAGGTATGGCAGTGAGCGGCCCAGGCAACATTCAGCCACTCCCATGGCCATTCCAGGGCTGAGCCTTCTGGCTGCATTTGTCTCCCAAACCTTTTCTTAGATGTGCATGTTCTTATCCTGACAGATGGCAGCTGAAGTGCACTTGAAAATAGTGGAGGAAACTCTGAGGCATCTACCCCCGAGCAACACAAAGGCATGTCTACACTCGAATGCTCATAGCAGCATTCCTCGCAGCAGCCAGGGCGGAAACGACCCAAACACCATCCCCTGAAGAACCACCAAAACAGAGCATATCCGCAGACTGAAACATGGATGGAGGCCAGAGATAGGACAGGGGATCAGGTGCTGAGCCCCAGCAAAATCCCCAGTACCCATAAGATTCCCTGAGCATCCCCAAGACTGATCTCTGAGCCTTGCTGGGTGTGGCCTGCCTACCCCCCCAAACAGATGAATTTTTCAAACGTTATGCTAAAAAGGAGACAAGTCGCAAAACACCACGTGCATTATTCCATATATAAGATATGGCAGGAATAAACATGTGGAGACAGAAAACTCAGTACTCTTGGGATGGGAAGAGAGGGACCATAGAAGTGACTGGGAAAGGGCCAGGAGGGTTCTTTCTGGGATGCCGAAAAGTGAAGACTGAACAAATATGATTAACTTGGTGGTTCAGTGTCGCCATGGGTTGCACATCTGAGGCCCTGGGCCAAACTCCCTGGACAAAGCCACACAAAGTCCCACAAAGTCCCAAACACATTGAACTGTATGGTAGGTAACTTCTATCACAATGAACTAATAGTGAAAACAGCCATCGGAAATCAACTCCCACTGATCTCTGCAGAAGCCGGAGACGGATTCCAGTACACCCCTTTACCCAGTACACCCAGCACATCTGTCAGGCCGCTCCAAACGCCACTTTCTCTCACCCCAAAGAGAGCTATAACCTCGTAGTCGGTTCCCTGTTGCTACCTCTGCAGCCACCTTCTGTGCTCCCCTACGGGGGCACAAGAAGCCTCCAAGGTAAACTGCAAGGTAAGTAATCGAGTCCCTTCTCAGATCAGCACCGGCCTCTTGGCTCTCTACATGAACGCCAGCATCGCTCAACCAATCTCTCGGACCATCAGGTCCCCACTGGCTTCCTCTCCCAGAACGTTGCCCTTGCTACAGTGGCCTCCTGGTTGTTCCTCGAAGGTGAGAGGATGGCCCTTTGATCTGCAGGTTACAGAAATAATTTGACACCGGGTCGATCATCGTGACCTGCTCTGCCAAGCGAGCACTCGGAAGCACCCGCGGTGCGATACAACTCCGTCGGACTGCATGTGACACCTCCTAGGGGAATCTAATCACCCCGAGCGAAGTCAAACTGATGAACCGAAAACATCCCAGAACTGGAACCGTCACTCCGACCTGGGGGCGTGGCCAGACTTAGCGGCCGCGGAAACTCCCCCGCTGGCCACTGGAGCCTACGGGGTCGTGGGTTCAGCCCTCGCAGGACGGGGCTGTAGAAGCGCAGGGCAGAAGCGGGCAGGGGCCCAACAGACGCGGAGCCTGACGTCTGGGGGCGTCTCGGAGACAGTGGAACTGCCACCGACAGCACCGTGCCTTCTGGCAAGGGGACCAACCTGTCAGCAGAGTCGGACTGGAGTGAGAAAGGCGGCAGCGGCGGGCCGCGAGCGCTCCTAGGGCCCCGGGGCTCCGAGAAAGTCCCGGCTCCGAGGCCGCCCTGCCCTCGTCCGGTGACAGAAATCCCCACTTCCTGCTTCCGGTGTCATCGCGGTGGGATCCGGAAGTAGAACGCACAAGCCCCGCCCCGCCCCGGGGTGCGAGGTGCGAGGAAGGCTGCTCCGGCGGGAAGCCCGCGCCTCGGAGCCGCATCCGGCCCGCGGGCCGCAGCCCAGTGACATGCCCCGCCCGCGCGTTTCCTTCTGGGGCGTCTGGCCGCCGCGTGCCAGGCCGAGCCGTCCCGGCCGGGGGAGGAGCCGCGACGGGGCGGGCTGGCGGCCCACGCCGACCCGCAGCCGGCCACCGTTCAGGCGGGGGCGGGGCTCGCCGTAGCCCGCACGGCCGGGGGCGGGGCCACATAGCGGCGGAAGTGGAGCCCTCCGCGAGGGCGGCGGCGCCCGGCTGCGGGGGGCCTCGGAGAGGGTCGCGGGCGAGGCGCACGGGAGGGCACGGGCAGCGAGCCGCCCCGGTGCCCCCGACGCAGGCGCTCTGGGCGGGGGCGCGCGCGGGCGGGCGCCGGGGGTGCGCGCGCACCTGGCCGCGCCTTAGCCCCGCCCCGGCCCCGGTGGGCGGGGCGCTCCGTGGCCCCGCCCGCGAGCCTCGCCTGAGGCCGGTCAGCTCAGCCTAGGCGCCCGCCCCCACCAGTTAAATGGGCCGGCGGGACGCAGCCCCCGGAAACTGCCGTGAACTCCGGGGCTGCGGGCGCCACCGACAGCAGTGAGGCTTAGGTAAGGGGGCGGGCGGGCGCCGCGCGGCCCCAGGAGGCCCTTCGGCGGCCGTGCTCTGGCGCGGGCCAGGATCCAGAGGGTCGTAGCCTGCTCCCTGGTCCCTTGCATTCCCCCCTCCACCGTGGACCCCTGGGGAGACTGAGCCCCCCGCCCTCCAAGGAGGGTCAGACACCGGCCGGCTCTCCCGCCAGTCTGCACTCCATCACCTGCACAGGCTCACGCTGGGATGGCCGGCCGGGCATGTGGTGCGCCTGCAGAGTCGAGGCGCTCCCCCACCTGGAGTCCATAACGCCCAGAGCGGCCACTGTGTCACAATCCCCCTCCACCCCACCGATCCTGGCCCCTCCCTGCTTGCCCGCGCCTGCTTTCAATAATCTAATCGGCCATCAGCCGGATGAGAGAGGCCAGAGTGGCGGCGGGTGAGGGACCAGTTTCTCACGCTGTCCTGTTCTCATGCTGCCAGTGAGCATCATGGCACAGCAGGTGGCCCTGAGCCGTACCCAGGTGTGTGGGATCCTGCGGGAAGAGCTGTACCAGGATCACGCCTTCCACCCGTCGGACACACATGTTTTCATCATCATGGGGGCTTCGGTGAGTCAGAAGAGCCCGTTCAGAGCGCGGCTGGGCGTCAGGACCCCCTTCCCGTCCCCTCCTTGCCACTCCTGCCCAGTGCCGACCCCCCAGCACAGTTTGCACACATGCAGGTGTCTGGGATCTGCCCAGCTGCGGCCTGCAGCCCTGTCCTGCGGCCCAGAGGCCCATGGGGACTGTCTGGCACTGCTCCTTTTTCAGACCTCTTTAGTAGTTCACAGATGTCGCCCAGCAGGGCTCTTCCCAGCCCTGTCCTTTGCCGTGGGGAGCCACACCTCCTCTTGCACTACCCACCATTACTTGGCCGCGACTTCTGACGCTGCTTGAGCTGCCAGCCCTGTTGTCTAGCCAGTGGGTCCGCCACTGGGTATTGATGGGAAAGGCCAAGGAGAAGCCGGCCCGGGCAGGGCTGGGGTGACCCGGGCAGGGTGGGGGCAGGCAGAGAGGCCCTTGGCACGCCCGCCTGTGTCCCATCCGCCGGGGAGGGTGGCCGTGTGGGCTTCTTCAGGAATCGCGCCTTTGTTCGTGGGCACAGGGGGCTCACCCGCTCCCTGCCAGCTGTGTCGTTCTGAGCAGACGCCGAAGGGGCGCAGCAGCATGCAGGAGGAGAGGCGCCAGGGCCGCCCAGCTCAGGATGGGGTGCCAGCCGTGTGCCCTCGCTGGACCTCCCCATGGCTGTGGAGCGCTAAGGGACTCGAGGCTCTGGGGCACCCCCACAGGCCTTGGGTCCCAGCTGCGGTTGCAACAGTGCAGGTTCCCCTTTGTTTCTGCAGCCAAAATAGGAAGTACCCACTGGCAGGGTGGGGGGGAGGTAGTGCCCCCCAAGATTCCCGTGGGCGGGGCGCCCTGCCGCCCTGCCAGGCTTTGGCACGCCGGCACCTGGAACACTTCCCACCATGTGCCTCCCAGCAGGCAGTGAAACAGTTTCCAGAATTTGCCACGCGCGAGCTTTCCGGGCGTCTGAACCCGAGCCAGACGGCCTCTGTGCGCCATGGGCGGCTGGGCACAAGCAATGGGAGATGCTAAGGACGCTGTGCCCTGGCCCCAGGGCATGCACGGCCACCTGTGCAGCCTGGGGAGGAGCCATGCCAGCCCCCAGCCACGACTTGCCCCTCCCGCTGCCCTTCTGCCGGCACCTGCTTGCCCAATCCCTGCCCACCTGCCCAGCTTCCTTCCAGCGGAGCTTTCTGCCCCGTTCCCCGCCACAGGTGAGCCACTCTCGGTACTCACTTTCCCTGGGCCAGAGCAGGCTTCACCTGCGTGGAGCCAGGGCAGGGCAGAAGGGCAGGAAGGCCCCCTGCGGCCTCTGCCTGCCCACGGGACCCCAGGGCGCTCGGTCCCTCCCTGCCGCACAGCCCATGCTTGGAAGGGGTGACTGGGTGGCCCAGCCCCTCCCTCCCCTCAGACCTGGCCGGGCCACCTGCCCCCAGGGCCGATAAGATTCCTGCTGTGTCATGATGACGTTGGCTCTCCCCCAAAGGCCAAGTGACTCACTGGCGCTGGGGTGCAAGACGGAGGCCCCTGCTTCACAGCAGCTTAACTCGGCAGCCCCCGGTCTCCCGGCCGATGGCCTGCCGCCAGCTGGGTGCTAGCCAGAGCAGGGCTTCGTGCCGAGAAGCCAGGAGGACCCTTGGCCCGGGCCACCAAGGACCTATATCCCGCTGCCACCTCCCTGGGACCGGCTACTCCTGCTCAGTCACCCTGAGTCCCCTGGGGCCAAATGAAGGGGCAGGGAAGGACGGGAGGCTGGCAGGAGGCTCCCGCGGCCTCGCTGGTCCGGGCCTACCTTGCAGTGTCTCCAGGGACTTGCAGGTCCAGGGGCTGAGCCCAAACAAGGCGAGCAGGTTCTCAGACGAGTTAATCCCAAAGGGAAGGCGAGAACAAACAGGGCTGTGCGGCGCCGTGACTCAGCACCTGATCACTGCCCAGCGAGATCTGTCCTGAGCAAACACAGCCTGACTGTGCCCAGGAAGGCCCCTGGGGCGTGGAGAGGACAGTGGCTCCCCTAGGAGGTGGCACTTCCGGGCAGGACCACGGGAGCTCAGGACACCTGCTGCGAGCACTTGCCCAGGAGCAAGCAGGCAGCAGAGGCTAGGGGAGCCCACCGCCTTCCAGCAGGCCTGCGCCTGAATTCCCCGCCGGCTCCAGGGGCTTCACTTCCTGTCCCCCATCAACCCTCTGCTGAGAGCCGCGGTGAAGGCCATTGGGTGCTGAATGGTCAGCTCCTTAACCCCTTGGGCTGAGCGTGCGCTGACACTTGGCGTCCAGCCACAGCGCCCTGCACTGCTTGCCAAGGGCCGTGACCGGGCTTACTCCCGGCTCTTCCACCTGCCGTGGAGACTGTTCTTTTGCCAGCTTATTAAATTCAGGCTGAGCCTGATCTTGGCCAGAACTTGGTGTGTTGCCTTGCATGAGTCTCACACACAGGCACTGCAGAGCCCCTAATGCTGTGGGGAGGAGCCACGCCCAGCGGCCACCTGCCCACAAACACTCGGGACAGTGGGCCTCACGCCTTAGCCCTGCTCCAGTCATGGCCCAGTCTCGTTTCACCGCAACGGCCATTTGGTCTGTTCAAGACGCTTCCCCGAGATGGACTCAGGGTCTGTCTTGCTTTGTGAGAGACCCAGTCCCTGGCATCCACCTGGAAACCATCTGTGAACTGCATCAGGAGTTTCTTCTTCTGTTGAAACGCAGGGTGTAGGGAGGGGGCGTTTACTAGTGGGGTGCGCCTCGGCTCCTTTCCTCTGAGTGAACACAAAAGCTGCTTTGGGGGGTTTCTTTCTCTTTCTTTTTGCCTTTTGGGTCACACCCAGCAATGCCCAGGGGTTACTCCTAGCTCTGCACTCAGGAATTACCCTGGCGATGCTCGGGAAACCATAATGGGATGCTGGGAATTGAACCCGGGTCGGCTGCATGCAAGGCAAATGCCCTACCCGCTGTACTATTGCTCCAGCCCCCGGGGGGGGTCTTTTTTTTTGCAGGGAGCCACCAGCTTTTCTCGGCAGGCAGCCTTGCTGCACCCCATGTGCTGTAGTCATCTCTGTAGCGTGGCTGCTGGCAGGGTCTCCCACAGTCCCAGTCCCTGTCGGCAGTGGGCTTTGGGTTTGCCGTGTTTGGGGGGCATACCTGGTGGTGTACACGTCGTGGATGAACTCCAGGTCTCCCCCCCTCACTGGCCCCGGTGGCTTACTTGGCTCTTTGGGTGGGTCACCTCACTCAGGCGCCCAGGATTGAACCAGGGTCAGCCGGATGCCAGGCCCGCGCCTTCCCACTGGGCAGTGTGGTCAGGGACTGAGTGTCCAGCCCCCACCCACAGGCCTGCTTCCTTCCTGTCCCCTACCGCGTTTTCCTCTTCCGATTGCTTCAGAGGGTGGTGGGGACACTTCCCCTTCGTGTCAGTGTGGAGGACTTTCCCCAGGGATCCCTTATCAAGGGAAGGGAGTTCCCTCTGACTTCCCGGTTGATAACCCTCTTGGCCCGGCTGTGTGATTGAATTCTCCTGGAGCTCTTTATCTGCCTCTGCTGAGAAGCTCAAGATTGCTGGGTTCAAGAAGAGCAATAGGGAAGACCCATTCGGCTTTTTCTCTTGCCACCTCCTTGGGCGGACCGCGGGGCGCTGGGGATGAGTGTGGAGCAGGAAACGCATCTTCCATTTCCCACCTTGCCCCTTCCGTGCAGCATGGAGCCGGCAGGAGAGCTTCTAGGGCTCTGCCTTGCCCCTGGCCGCACTCACTCGGCCCCTTGCTCCATTTCCGCAGGTCTGATTGGCCCAGACGGTTGCCCGTTGGTCTCCGTTGTCAGACGGGGGATCAGGTTGTGCACACCCTGCTTCTGTGGTCCCTGCGTGTGCTTGCCGCACTCTAATTCTTGGTGCCTTTGAAAAAAGCCACGTGGCCACAGGTGGGCTGTCCGAGTCTTTTTCAAACACCAGCTGTGCCTGTGTCGCTCTGTTTGGGTTGGTTTCTGTGTGTGAAGTTTGACTTTGCAGTACTCGCTGCCTTGTCCTGTGTCTGCCCTT